CTATCTATCTATCTATCTATCTATCTATCTATCTATCTATCTATCTATCTATCTATCTATCTATCTATCTATCTATCTATCTATCTATCTTCAACCCTACATTTAGGCATGTAGAAGTGGTCAAGACGACGGGCTCGTCTGAGTATTTCAAAAGCTACTGTAATTTTCTCATAACCACATCTAGGGTTTACAGAGCATGGTCTAAAAAAAGAGAAAATATCCATTGAGCGGCAGTTCTCTGGGTGAAAATACCTTGTTGATGTCAGAGGTTAGAAGAGAATATCCAGACTGCTTTGAGCTGATAGAACGGGAACAGCAACTCTGTTATTAAACTTGTTAAAACCAAGCCATGCAGGAGAGGATCTAGGTACCCCTCCTGTCAGCTACGAACCGGAAACTGAGGCTACAGCCAAACTGAGTATTGTTAGTGACGATGCCCATCACTTTATGACCACAGCCGATGAACAGATCACCTTTGGAATGTGGTTAAACAGCACACTTATATCATGGATGTGTAACCAACACAGCTGCAGCAACTCTGTGATGTAATATGTCAATACGGACCCTAATCTGCTTTATGTCAAATATTATTTCATATAGTCATATATATCCACATAGTCACTTTGTATATCAGCTGCTACCAAATTAACAAGTTCTTAATTAACTAGTTAGAGCTACAACATCAGACAAATCAATATTAGTTGATGCTATAAAAAAAAACTAACCTAAGATCAGCCAATCGGCAAGGATAATGCTGATTGGCTGTGCTGCTTACATATGTGCTTACATAATAACCAACAAGTGAGTATCTAGGATTTCATAAGCGGTATTTGCTAAGACATCAATAACATTGCTCCAAAAAATACAGTACACAATTCTGAGTGAGAAGTGTTATTTTGTACTTTAGCAAAGTTTTGAATATACAAAATGTTAAAAAAGTGACTTGTGCCTGACAAGGTATCCTCGCTCTAAAGCACACTCTATTTTATTGTCTCTTTCTCTCTAAATGGGACCATAACATACAAAATGAACATAACGCCATATTGAAAAAGACCTGAAGGTAGTGCCTTAGAATATAAACTGTTAAGAGAGTTTTTACTGAGGACGTCCCTGTAATACGCCTTCTTTTCGCAATCCGGAGAGAGAAGTATGGAGGTTTTAGGCACAGCCGCACAAGCTTCCTTTTTCACACTGACAGGACATATTCAGTCTATGAATAAAGTGGAAAAAGAAAGACAGGCTGCAGCTAGGCAAGAAAAAAAAATAAAGAAGATGGTCAACCACTACCTTACATACAAGAACAAAACCTTCTCAAGAAAGAATTTTTTTGATAAAAGTAAAACTGCGTACGCTGTGTAATACTCTGTTCTTGTGAATTTGTGATGTTACAAGGACTGTTGCTTTCATCTGACAAACCGTAGCTGCAACAGTATGTCCTTTAACTCTAGCAGAAGAACTCATAATGCTTTAGGAGACACATCAGCATGCACCAGTGTGTGTGAATATGCGCTGTGCTAACTAGAGCAACTAGGTCACCCAAATTTTCAAGGGGAAGATGTTTCCTTCAGGCCAGTATTCAGCGGGGTGAAACATTCACTGTGTTGGTTTTTCAAGACACCAAGCAGGCCGTGCTGATCGCTACAGCATGTCCTGCTGCACACGCTGTGACATGTGCAGTTTTTTCTTTTTAGAAAAAAAAAAGTCTGTGAATTCCCCTGACGCCCCCCCAAAAAAATCTTTTACCAAGAACCAAAAATGAACACTCAGACTCACCTTGAAAGGACACTCCAAGACAAAGAGAGGTATTTGACTGAAGTCCTTAGAGGACAAGCGCCCTTAAAGCCCAACCTCACTAATAACACTAATGAAATTTGGTTCCACCTCAAACCTATTTTACACAGAACATAAGAAAGTAGAGAGGAATGGCCTGTTTTGTCCTTTTAGCCGAAGTCAAAGAAAGGTCTTGCATCGGCAGAGGTCGTCCCCCTCGCTCCTCGAGCAAAAGAAATGCAAATACTCTTAATTTTGTTTTGTTAAATTGCAAAGTACACACCATTCCACACACACAGCGCAAAGATGGCTGTGCATACAGAAGGAAGGGACAATTTTAAGGAAGCACCGTGACATTCCCTGGCCCTCTCTCTTTATGTGGCATACAAGAAAATCAATAGTTATTCCAAATGCATTTTCTGCCTGTAAGAGAAGAGCATTTGGACAATAGGCTTCATCTCACATGAAGCACAGCACAGTCTGCAGGCAGAAAACAGTAAATGTCAGATGAAGGCCTGTGGGAGGAGGAATTCACTACCTACATTATGTACTGCTGAGCACCTATGTGCCGCATGCAGGCTTGTGGGTTGCAAAGTTGTTTTGTTTTTTTCCCTTCTGTTATTTGTGCAGGGTGAGGCCAAAGTGAAAATACACCCTTTAATTTGCCACAAGAAGGAAGTCGAGATGGAACGCAACGATGCTTACGATTACACTTTCAAGACGAAGCGCTGGGATCTCCAACTTCACGGTAGCTGCTACATAATGTATATGCAGCTTAATGTTTAAAGAGACAAGAAGCTCTGTCTACGAGTGACCTAACCTGTCTCTGCTAGTTCAGAGCTTACAGTGATAACACTGACATTATCTTCTCATCTCCTCCTGTTAGCGCCTCTGGAGAGCTCAGAAAGTCGACCTCAGTGTCTCTAATTTCAGACACTTAATGAGATTTTTAATTGGTGACCTTTTGAGAACGGTTTCATACCACAGCTCATGAGAGCACTTGAGGGAAGCCAACATATAACACTCAATACTCACACCAGGATCCTTCATAGCAGCTTCTTAAGGCTCTGATATTTGCACAACCGACTGGCTAATCACTTGTGAGATGCAGAATGGCAGGAATTTTTAATTTTATAAAATACTAAAGCTTTCTACTGACTACCAGTTTTGACTGTCCTAGATTTGTGCCATGTTTTTAGCACTATGGGAATTATCTGGAAACTGAATGAGACCACAACAGTCTGCAACATGACCAAATCTTAAGCTGGCTCTTCTGCCCTTCATCAAAGTTTTATCACTTCTTTGTATGACAAACGGCTAAGAAAAACACAACAAAATCTCAATAAACAAAACTCAAGTGAGCTGAAAAAGAAAGCAAGTCAGCATGCTGAGGCGTTGGTGTGGCAGATAGATATGTACTACACGTAGGTGGTACTGAATGTCTCTTTGTGTACCAACAAATAAAAGCAAAGACTCAGAGGAGTATAAAGCTTCAAAATTTGTGGCCTCAGCTTCTTACCGTGGTGAAATATCACAGCCTTGCTGCATGAAGGCGCCAAGTGAAAACCAAAGGGAATTGAAGATGCCAAATTCATTGGTTTGCTCTGGACTCTGCTGGGTGGTGTTCTGCTGCGTCGGTGTCTGGCCCTGCTGCACCCCGTTGGAAGCCGCCGCTTGGGTGGGAGTCTGCGGCTCGGCTCCCTCCTCGTAGTCTTCGGCGTGCCACTCGTACGGGCTGAATCGACTGACCAGGAAGAGGACGACGCTGACGCCAATGTAGGCAAACACAATGCACATCCAGATCTCGTAAGCCAGCGGGTCCAGGAAGGAAAACACGCCAGGCTTGGATTTGGTTGGTTTCTTGATCATTATAGAGATACCCAGAGACATGAAGGGCTTGGAGAAGTCAATCACCTCTTCACGGACCAGGGTGATAGTGAGCGGAGCCACAGCCACGTCTGCTTTCTGAGGAAAGAGCACAAAGGCAGGTATAAACAGTGCTGGATAAAGTAGCATTTCATTGAAATTCTGAGGTAGAATGATACTTGTGTTTCCTTGTTTGCAGCTACGGTCTGAGAGGATCACCGCAACCACTCAAAGTGCACTACACCGTGTCTAGATATAAATGTATTCTTGATCATTATCCAAGTGTATTGCACAACGAGAAAGCAAAAGAAAGACCAGTTCTTTCAGTTTTAAGATGGTCTCTTTATCTTCCTCCCCCTTATCACAGCACAGTTGGTACACACAGCAAAAGTTAGTTGGTAACGATCCAGGTCAAATTAAAAACACAGCACAATTTCAGACTTCTGAAGAACAAAGTGGTTAGACTGTCGAAATTGCAATTCAGAGGAACCTTTAGTAATCATATAATCACAAATTATTCTAGCAGCAAACTGTAAGGATTTGTTTCTTCCAAAGTGAACCTTGCCCAAAGTCTAACATATTAAAATTGTATTTAAATAAGCAGCGCAGAATACTAATAAAAAGAAAGCAAAATAGGTAATCATCCTTAACAGGCTTGGGGCCAGTGCGGTTTTCAATGTGTTAAGACCTTCAATAATCAGTATTCACAAAAGACATTTAAAAGTTAATTTTCCAGCTTTGACTGTGGGGAAAACAAAAAGAAAATCTTAGAAGAAGCTCCACCGACTCACCCCATACACCAGCTCTCCGACCATGCCATTCCACATCTTGGTTTCGGGATCTCGGGCTCCGTACTTGCCATCTGAGACGATCTTCAGTTTGTACTGGTAGCCCACATGCTTTGCTATCTCTGCAGCCAGCTCCACGATGTAGCCCTCGTACTTATCATTCCCCACAAGCTGTTCGTGGTTCTTCTTCAGCATCACGTATGGAGACTCCTGTTGGATGTGGGGCAGCCATGAGTAAAAATGGATTTTTTATTTGTTTCTTTTTTTTTTCCTAAAGTTTTAAAAATCATTTACAGGAACTCACTCAACAGCTTCTGAAATGATTTCCCTGAAATTAGTGTGTATTTTGAAAATGAAGTGCTATCTCTTGTTCTAAACCGAGGCTTAGGGCAAAAAAAAGGGAAAAAAAAGCGCTGGCCCCCGGATATAATTGTAGGTTTAAAGGTTGAGAAGAAAAGAAAATTAAATGGAACTACAAGGCATTATTTCAGCTTTGTTCCCTGAAGGTAGGTATGCAATTCATCCACAAAGACCCTCTAAGTAGGATGAGTGCGACTGAATCGTGCACTGAAAAGCACATAGCATGCAGCAAGAAAACAGGAATTGGGCAGCATTGTTAGAGCCGAAGAGACATGAGGTATGATTCAAACGAGCACCTGTGTAAGTGCGTGCATGAAGACAATGAAGCTGACAGCTCTCTGAAACCAGGATAACCTCTGCTCCAGGGCCACATTGTTCTTCTTGTTACATCGACTACTGCACATCTCACACTGATTGACTTGCCTGAGAAACTGCAGCTGACACGACACCTGGGGCTCCACTTTCAGAAATATGTATTTCATACAGAATTAAAGTCGCCTCAGTATAAATTGTCCAGCAGCACTAAGAAGGCCTCAATTCCCACAAGTTGTTATGTGTTCCTGTTTTAAGCGAGAGTTTTCTGCTGAGCTTAGAAAATCCTTCCATCGTGTTCACCAGTGTCTAGATAAGGAGGTGGGGTGTAGGGAGGAGAGGGTTTCCTATATGTGTTACAGCTATCTGTGTTCTCCCGCTCTTTATGATCCAGGTGAAGGTAATCATTGTTGCACATAACTTGAGGCTGGTAGACAAATGGCACCCTGGGGAGGCAGTGAAGAGAAAGGACCGGCGTGCAGCGCTTTCACAGTGTACGCACTGGCGCACGCAGTCATAGACAAAGACAGGGCACACGCAACTGTGACCATGCCCACTACACACACACACACACACACACACACACACACAGAAATACACACACACATGTACAAATGTGCACATGGAGATGTGGCAAGGCATACAAAAGGTCCTCCAGGACTGAATCACATTGACCTCGAACAGCTCCACTGAGATCTGCTGTCACTCAACCACATTAAATACAATACTCAGACACATTCGCTGCACATTTATACACACAAGAGCACTTGTGCACCTGAACAAATGCAACTACACATGTAGAAGTTCATATTTTTAATACGTTTTAAAAATTCAATCGTTTTCTCTTGTGTGCTGACATTACCCAATATATTTTAAGAGTTATACACACTAAAGGCAACAATAACACAAAAATCAGGCATGCTAAGATTAGACACATTTCACTCTTTGTCTGGTTTCAGTGTAAAGCCGCAGTCATCAGCAAAGGAAGCTTTGATGCCCCATTAAACCAGTTGTGCCTCATTTCTCCACATCTCCAGGCCTAGTCTGTGGGCACAGGCTTGGACAGCAGGGACTACAGTGAAGAACTATGTGATATCAACACAGCAGCAAAACAACACCCACCCGTAGGCAACGAATCAGAGAGCACAGAAGTTAGAAGGTGTAAAAACTCCTGCGCCTGTGCTCCTCACACCTTATCTCTTCTCTTAGCTTCCAAGACAGAAAACTAATTTATCTTCCCGGAGAAAAGGACACTGATAGGAGATTATGTCAGAGAGAGTTATTTTGGGGGCTTACACTGGAGACTCCAACTCTTGGGTTTAAATAAGGATTTTAGGCATACTTTCGAAAGTAGATGTCAATAGACTACATGTCAGGATTTGCCTTTGCAGCTACATTAGTGGCTACTTTCTTATATTTAACTCAGTAATCTTATTATAGTAATACTACAACAACCACTTGATTGGCTTTTCAGTGAAAATGATTCTAACAGGATCTCTGGTCTTCCAGTTGTACTGCAGACAGCTGAAGTGGCAGAAGCTACATGCATGCAGAATGTATTCCCGGCACTTCACATGTTCCACGTTGTGTTATGTTACGGCCTCATTCCACAAAGGATTCAATTTATTTTTTACCTCAAATTATAAACATATTACCCCATAAAGACAAAGTTTTCTTGAAATTCTTGTAAATGTAGTAAAATTTGAAAACTAAAATATAACAACTACATAAGTATTGAAAGCCCTGGCTCAATATTTCAATCTTCTCTCAAGCTATGTCAGGTTGGATGGGGAGCGTCTGTGCACAGCCATTTTCAGATCTCAAGTCTGGGCTCTGGCTGTGACACTCTAGGACATTCACAGAGTGGTCCTGATGCCACTCCTTTGTTACTTTGGCTGTGTGCAAAGGGTCGTTGTCCTGTTGGAAAACTGGGGCTAAACCAGAACATTCTGGAGCTTGTTATAATCAAGGATACGTTGCTGCATTCATCTTTCCCTTGACCCTGACTAGACTCCCTATTCTTACTGCCAAAAAACATCTCCAGAGCATGATGTTGCCGATGACGCACTGCATTCAGGCCACAGAATTCAATCTTTATTTCATCAGAACAGAGAATTATTTCTCGATATTTGAGAGTCCTTTAGGTGCCTTTTGGCAAACTCCAAGTGGCTGCCCTCTGGCCTCTCTCTCCTGGAGTGTTGGAGAGTTACTTTCAAACAAAGAATGTGTTTAGTTAACTATGTCTAATCTCTGAGATTATGCACTCTGTTTTTCTGAAAAATAGCCTAAAGGCTTGAAAACTGGGTACAAAAAAAACATGTAAGCTATCAATCTCCTTTTCTCGCAGCTGAATGGATTGCATTAGGGTTCACTTTGGGCTTCATTTAAGCTGAACTGACTACTGCAGCCATTTTGCACTAGTTTGTTTAAACATAATTATATCTGCTAAGTGGCAGAGATAGTTGGCTTCTGAAAATTTCTTTATCTTAATTACAACTTGGAGGCTGACTGGAAGAGTTTTTCTCCTCTCACTGGCAATGATGTCTATATATGCAGCCAATGGCTCTAAAAAGAGTGCACAAGTTGATGTGTACTCATGTCTTTTCTGTCATTCTACATTGTTTCTTGCCTTCATCAGCTCCACTAAGAATCTTTTATCTGGTGAGCACTGAAGTCATCTGAAGGAAGGCGCACACAGCAGAATTCATGTGTCCCACAAAAATCCCACAGTCATGCAGTCTTTCTATACCAGAACTCTGTAAAGGCAGCTAAAGCAGCTTTCCTATCAGATATTATTGAGACTAATTGCCACAACCCCCGAATGTTATTCAAAATTTTTAATTCAGTGATAAATTCCTGTCTGGACTCTTCGAGCTCGGCCTCTCAGGTTCTCTGTGAGCAATTTCTTATTCATTTTAGTGGAAAAGTTTTATTACTGAAGGCTTCACACTCTCACTCTCTTGTGCTGAATCCTGTTCCGGTTTTAGGATGCATGTCCACCTTTTCTCACTTTGAGCTGTTATCATTCCCCACTCTTAAGGGAATAATTGAACAATTGAGAAACTCAAATTCTGTGCATGATATCCTTCCATCCCGAATTATCAAGAAAAGTTTTGAGGAATTTGGGCCTTGCATCTTATTTTTAATGAATTTATCATTGTTAGTGGGCTGTGTCCGAACTGCTTTTAAACATGCGGTAGTGCACCCTGTTCTTAAAAAAAGTAATTGTGATCAGAAAGACCCTGCCAATTATAGGCCAATCTCAAAACTTCAGTTTTTATCAAAAGTTTTAGAGAAAGCCGTCTTTCTCCAAATACAGGCTTACTTAGTTGCAAATAATATCACTGACAAATACCAGTCTGGCTTTAAGCCACACCATAGCACTGAAAC